GGGGGTGTCAGTACCCGTCGGCAGCTCCGAAGTGCGTGCTGCGCTGTTGCAGACGGCCTTTGTGAGGCAAATCCTTTCCCAGAAAACCCTCTGGGAAGTTAGAAAAAGCCGTTTGGCGCTTCCAGTTCTTAATTTACCTACACCTCCTTTTAGAATCGTGAGACTTGATGTGCTGGAGGAACATTGTTAGCACCACATAGCATCAAGGGCAAGCTTGATCCGTGCTCAAGCCAGACGGTGTCCTCTGGCCGAGCCGCCAGCGGGCTGTGGAGCAAGCAGGACGTGACGCTGCTGCTGCCGTCACCCCTTCAGCGGCTGTTGCTCTGGGGGTAGCGCGTGTGTGTGCGCGTGTGCCTGACGGGATTTCTCTCTGCAGTTGTCTATCACCACGGAAACAGCGCGACTGGCGGCCATTACACTACGGACGTCTTCCAAATCGGCCTCAACGGCTGGTTACGCATCGATGACCAGGCGGTCAAGGTGATCAACCAGTACCAGGTGGTGAAGCCGTCGGCAGAGCGCACAGCCTACCTCCTGTACTACCGCCGGGTCGACCTGCTGTGAAACCGCTCCCTCTTACGCTGTGTGTGCAAGATACCTGCTTTGTAGAACGCCAACTATCACTAACTTTTTTTCTCCTGTAAATGCTCTTTTGAGTGAATCTTTTTTCCTTTTTTTTTTTTTCCTTTTTTTTTTTTTCCTTTTTATTTCCCTTGCAACTATGGGATAGAGTGGTAAAGGAAATACCTTGGGTTTGTGCACAACATAGTTTGTGTTGACTTTTGACTTGGCAGAATGAAGTCACTCGGTTGAAAGACTCACTCTTGTGAATCACAAAAAATAATAATTAAAAAAAAAAAAAAAAAGTAATCAGAGTTAATGCTGAATCCTAAGATAATAAAAGGGGATTTGCATTTAATTCCCACTTTGTAATTGCGTAGTAGAAGAAAACCCTGCACCAGCAACAGAACTTGTAGATTTCTGTGAAAATGTTTTATCTTTACTTAAGTAAAAAAAAATTTAAAAAAATATATAAAAAAAACCCCAAAAAGCGCTCTCTGCTTCCCCAATAGTTTTTGATAAGTGGTAAAATATGAGCCGACGTGTATGAGATGGAAATGGTCCTATGTGCTTCAAAAAATGTACAAACGTACGACATGCAGAGTTGCTGGTTCCTGATAGGAAGACACATTTTAATAATTGTGCGATGAGAAACTGCTTAAGTACACATTGCAGATCAAATATTTGGAGTTAAGATGTTAGTCTATATAGATGGGTGATTGTAACTTTATTGCTATTAAGAAATTTCAAACTGCATTTATGCTTCTGTGTACATGAAATTAAAAAAAAAATGGGCAAAAATAATTAAGGTTGATATTTCTTTAAGTCTGCTTTGTTTAATTTTGCTGTCTGCTCTCCTATAATGTTGAGTTCCTAATTGTACACAGTTTAGTGATATCTAGAAGTATAAAGTTGTCGCCCATCAATAAAAGTCACAAAGTTGGTTTAAGGTGTGTGTGTGGGTTTTGTTTTCCCTCCAGTGTAAGTTCGACCCTCGGCAACTCGAAAAATTGCTGTGTGGCCCTTGGAGGAGGTGTGGACAGCGTTCCCCATGTGATGGGCGGATGGCTTTTTTTGGTTTGGGTTTTTTTTTTATCTTTTACAACTTCTTGAAACTTCAGAAATGTTCCCATTCGGCCCTGAGATGGAACTGAACTTGGAGGGCAGAGGGAAGGGGAGAGGAGATCAGCCTCCCGTCCAGCGCAGGACGTGGCAGTCCCGCGGCTGAACCCCCCTCGGCCAGCAAAGGGCACTGAATCCCTTCTGTGTCCTGCGTGGTTGTTTTTGAGGTGGGTGTTTTGTTTGCCTTTGACTAAAATATTCCCTTCTTTAGCCAGTTGCCATTTTCATTGAAAAGCAAAAATATTTCCTCAAGCTTCCTGCTGCTGAAGGTGATACAAACCCCTTTTGTTTGGTCCTTAATTTGATGATAGTGGCGTTACGGCCTTACTGCATCACTGGAGGATTGTTGCCAGGGCTCACTGAAGCACGGATTGTCAATAAAAGGTTACTCTGCATCTCCTCTGACCAAGCACGCTTCACTTTTGTAAGATGACATTTAGGGGGGGGAAAAAAAAGGTTACTTTCCGCAAAGTAGAAGTTTATTTCCTGTGGGAATAAAATGAGCTGCTCTGATGTTACAGGTACTGCGTTCCAGTTAATTCCTTCAGCGTTTCTTTAAACTGCTGGTCTCCTTCGAGTGGCTTGTCTGCCCAGGAGAGAGGTGCAGGTCTTGGGTGAAAAGCGCTGTTGGCTTCTTCCAGAGGAGGGAACGGCCCTGCAAGCGCCTTCGGTTTCAGCACCTCCCCATCGCCACGGGCTTCCCTCCGGCACGTCCTACCCAAGCCGAGCGGCGATCGGTCGCTTTGCAGACGAGGGGAAGGTCCTTCACGGCTGCTTCCTCGAGATGTTAAACCCCTGGCTGTGATTTGCAGGAGTTCCCTGTGCCGGGCGGTCGCGGGTGTGCGGCAAAATTCCGTGGCCGAGCCGTAAGAGCTGCTGAAGAAAAAGCCCTCCTGGTTTGCCCTCTGACTTTCCTACCCTCTCCCCGGGCGGTGGAGGACTTGCCTGCCTGTGAATCACTCCTGGGGATGCTGTGCTGCGTCAGGGATGAGGGGGCTGCCCGGGGCTCTGGCAGGGAGAGGAGTGAGTCCAGCCCCACGGCTGGGGTGAGGCTGTTTGGGCTGGGCCTGTTCTCCTTGCTCAAGGTTGGGACATCTTCAGATGGCTGGTCTTCTGTTTCTTCAATAATAGGGAATGTTGACTTTATAGCACCACCCCAATCCTGCTGCTGAGGAAGCTCTGTGGTATTTTGTCAGTCGTTCTGCACATCCAAATGTACAGTTACTTGGTTTTGTCCATCAGCAAATTTTATTAGACTTTCCTGATCTGACAGTTGTGACTGAGACACTGTTCTTCGTTTTGGTGACATTCCGCCAACTCTGGAACAATTTTCTGTCCAGAGCTTGTTTTGGGTTTGGCCAGTTGCAGGGAAAACCTCCGCTCCTGGCTGCTCCCTGGGCACGGTGCCCCGAAGCTGGGGCTACCGAGGCAGCATGCCAGGGTGCTGCTGGTGCTTCCAGGGTTTCCCAATGCAGGGCCGCCCATGGTGGGAATTACCCCAGAGTCAGTGCTGGTGAGGCGTTGGTTCTGCTTTGAGTTGGAAATCCGGGGGGATTGTTCCAAATAGGAAAGAAACCAGATTTTGAAATTCCTGTTCCGTACTGGTTATTATTCACGTCCTGTTGCTGCACCCCGGCTGAAGGAGTTCAGGTACTGCAGAAATCCTTTTTTTTCGTGCGTGTTGTTGGGGTTTTTTTTGGTTGGTTGGTCAGGTTTTTTGAGGCTGTGTTGAGGATTTACCTGTATCTCCAGTGGATTGTGACAAGGTACGTTTGTGATCGCGCAGGCGTACCAGAATAGTCCAGGTCACATGGCAGGTGATCAGGAATTGGTGTCAGGCCCTTGCAATTATCTTTGGTTTTGACTGGACAAGAGGGTTGGCTGGTGAGTTTTGACTCACGTTACTCAAAAATTACGGGTCCGAGTGTGCGGGTAGGACACTTGCCAGGTATATTTAGTGGAGACAAGTTGGACCCCACGTGGTCGGTCTGCTTTTGCACCAACAGGACACCTCACGGCGAGGGGTTTTTCTGGCAAAAAGCTTTTACTGTTTCCAGATGCCTTAACCCGTTGCGGATGGCTTTGTAATACAGGTGTGTTAAAAATATAGGTGTAACTAAATACTTAGTCTTTTTATTTGGGGGGATGGTTGCTGCTTGCAAGCAGCCCTGCAAGGCTTTCCCAGGGCTTGGGAGCAGGCACTGGAATGATGTGCTATCCAAAGTCTGGCATTTTGTTATCTTTTGGAAAAGAACCACTGCCTTAGTCTCAGACCTTCCTGTGGATAACGAGACGAGTCTTCTCGGTTATAGGGGACTCATCTGCTTCAGGAATAACTGTTGGACCTGGAGCGGGTCCCTCCTTGTGATGCGCAGTTTCAAGTGGAGTCCAGCACAGCAGAAACCGCTTAAAAAGGGCAAAGTGAAGAGGAGAGGAGGAGAGGAAGAGATGAAGAGCAGGATGAGAAAGAAAACTGATGTATGATTAATGGGATTTGAGTATTATTTCATTTACCTGTGCTCGCTCTTCTGAGGTTTGCTTGGAGTCGCTGCGTATGTGATGGCTTAATACAGTATTTAAATTACAGTTTAATCACCCAATATAGTTTTACCTAATACAGATTTGGCCCTAAGGATATCCTATCTGATATTTTTTGCTGTCAGGAGGTTTTTGGTGTTGAGACACACGGTTCTGCATTCCTTTGCAGCTGTGGGAGCTCCAAGGGTTTTTCCCATGTCCTGTGCGTTATCCCCTGGGGTAAAAGAACAGAAAAGGAATTTCCATCACAACTCAAGTTCTGGTTTGCAACCTAGACCTTTCCTGTTCATAAAGGACCTGTACAGGCATCTTATAAAAGTTGTCAGAGAAGATGTTGAGAGGAGCTCCTGCTGCAAAAATCAATTCGCTCTGTGTCTGTATATTCAGTTCTATGTTTCACTTGACGTCACCAGGTTACAGATGTTAGTAATTGTTTTACAGAAACACCAATGAGTAATTGCCAGTTTAAAAAACAAGTGTTGAAATCATCCCTTAGTATGAAGTGGAGGTTATTCAGATGGTATTAATTTTATTATTTTTTTTTTTTTTACTAAGGATATTACAAATGCACTTGTTGCTAAAATCTGTCTTCTGCAGTGTGTTGCTCAAAGGAAAAAAAAAAAAGAGTAAAAAGTATGTGGCAACAGTCTGATGTGAGCACATAACCACAATTTTTATTTTCTGTGTTAAACTCGTCCCGTTGTTGGAAAACAAGGGGTTTGCAGCCTTTTGATGGTTTCCTTTGTCTGTGAGTGATTATGTAAAAGAAGGGGAAAAAAAAAAATAACCTCCCAAGACAGCCCCCTCTCCAATACACCGTGAATCTGGTGGTTGTTTACTGACGTTTAAACCAGGTTTTAAGAAGTGGTTTTTAAAAATACGCACGTTAAGACCCAAAGTTTTCAAAACCAGAAACTTGGGATGTGCGAGGCCAGCAGACCCTTACAAAAACCTTACGCCGTCAGCCAGGTCTGCGTGGGGGATGCTTCGGTGGGGGAGAAAGATTATCAAAAGCACGAGGTATTTGGGGGTAGGGGGAGGACATGTGGTTTTTAATGAATCTCTCCTGTTTTCCACAATATCCCCCCCCCCCCCCCCCCCCCGCAAAAAAAAAGTGACGGGCCCGGGGACGTGCTGCGGCAGAGGGCAGTGGCGGCACACGCCAGCTCCGTGGTGTTACAGCTCTAAAGCTGCTGCCAAAATTGCTACCCGGACTTCGGGGAGCTCCCGGGCTGTTGGCAAGGGGTTTATCGTCATATATCTGCTATAAAATCTCTCCTGTTTCGGACAGGAATGAAAAGCGCCTTGGACAGGCAGCGGATGTTCCCAAGATGTTTGGAGATTCACGCAACTGGGGGGTTTATTCCGGGCTATTTCTAACGACCCGAAGGGTTTTGAAAAGAATTTCTGTTGGCAAATAATCAGGTGTAATGGCTGCGGAGCTTGTGTTTGCAATTCACCTGCTCCGTCTTGAGAGTGAAGAAGTCTCTAAAAATGAGTCTTGGGTTCATATTTCTGACCCGTTTCAGTCTGCAGTTCTGTACTGGTTACTTTAGTGTTAGAAAACTGTGTTTCTACATCTCTCGCTGCCCATATAACCAGGAAATGTGGTGAGCTGC